GTGGGGAGGGACAGAGGCGGCAGCCTGGGTCTGAAATGGACAGCCTTCCGGTCCCCCCGATCCTGGATTCCCGGGGGAGCCTGCGGCCCTCTGCCCTCCCCTCTGGTGTCTGCACCACAAGTGTGCGTGTCTCCGTCCTTGATCAGCCGTCCCCTGGGTGCCATGTCCCTCACCTGCATCTGCATTCTCACCCCCATGACTGCAGAGCCCTGCCTTCTCCAGTCACCCCCGGGGGCTCAGGAATAAAGCTGAGCCCACGTCGGGGGTGTGGGGCCCGGGGAGAGCTGCCCACCTGATCCTCTGGGACTTGGTGCCCGGGGTGGGGGGGGCACAGTGAAGCCCTGGGCAGGGAGGGAGGAAGGGAGAGGGGAGAGCCGTGCGTTTTCCGGGCGCTGACGCAAGCAGTAGCACTTTGGGAGATAAGTACTGGCCAGGGCTGGCCCAGCCCCAGCTCCGAGCCAGCAGCCCCTGGGCCCCGCGGGCTTCGCAGCCCGCCCGCCCGCCAGCCTCAGCACTGCACTCAGAGAAGGTCTTTGTGCCCCAATCTTGCAGGTGCGGGGGTGGGAACGGGGTCCTTGGCTCAGCTCGGCCTGCGACCACATGTGACAGCAGCGGCTGTGTGCCCGGCCCCAAGGTCTCTGCCTCACATAAAAGGGGCCGGCCGGCCGGCGGAGGCAGAGTCAGCAGAAGGGCTCTCCTGCTCCACGGCTCCGCTCCAGCCGCCCGGGACCGGCTGCCTCCTGATCCCCGCCGGGACCCTCGCCGGGACCCTCGCCGGGACCCTCGCCGGGACCCTCGCCCAGGACCCTCGCAAGCTGCTTGCTGTTCCTTTTTCCTATGCATATACTTCTTTGAGGGTCAGGCCTAAAGAGGTGTAAGGCATGGGAAAACGGGGCAGTGAGGTCCTCTCCCGCGGAGCCACGGCCTCACAGCCTCCTGCGGACCGGCCTCCAGGCGGGGGACAAGACGGGTGGGTAATGGTAATGTTGCTTCTGTGGGCACCCTCGAGGCGTCTGGACCGTGTGGTCAGGTCCTGCCGCTGGCTGACGTTTGCCCCCAGAGCTCGGGGCGGCTTCTGTAGACGTCGTGGTGATTTCTGCTTCCTACACCTTGATTATCCTTTTGTAATCATGAATGTGAGTTGATTTTCTGACCAGAAATGTCAATAAAACTAATTTCATGTGAACTTAAGTGTGGTATAGTTCTGACAGAGTTTAAATCAAAGCTGCCGCGGCCACACAGCGCGTGGGGTGGGCACATGAGTATCCGTGGCCTTGGCCTCGGAGGAATTTCGTGAGAAATCTGTGGACGTGAGGAGAATGACATGGCTCTCAGGGGGGAGGGCGCAGCGGTGAGGGTGTCCTGACGGCCTTTCTGAAAACCAGGGCCACTCCTGGTGGGAGTCCCTAGGGTGCCTGGGAACAGATGGCGGGGTGGGTGGGCCAGGCATCGCCCGCCACTGGCCCCGCGGGTCAGGGTGGGGGCCCCTTGTCCCTGGAGCCAGGGGTCTTAACTTCCTGGTGTAGCAAAACGGACAGAAGCCTTCCTGAACTGGAAGCTTAAACAATGATCATTGGCCTTTGTCAGCTAATCAGCCCAGTGAATGGAGCAATTACAGGCGCCCCTTTATCAGCGGTGGACTGGGCTGGCCTGTCCCTAATCTCATTTTGCTGTCCCTCCCTCCGGGGACCACGGCCTCCTGCCTGGAGGAGGGGAGGGCTGGGCTGGGTGGGCATTGACGCAGGGCAGTCCTTGGGAGACACTCCCAGTGCTGGCTGCCCCCCTCCACAGTGCTTGTACCTGCGGGGTCGGAGGGGGGGGGGGAGGTGGGGCTGGCTCCCGGTTCCACACAGTGTAGAAGGAGCAGACAGGGCTCAGCTCCTGGGCACAGAGAAAGGGGTCCCTCAGCATTGTCACAGCTAGAGGTGGGGTCCTTGGCTGACTGGAGGTCACATGCCTCACCCCAGCCCTGGGCAGTGGGGGCCCCAACAACAGCACATAACTGAGCGGGCTGCTACTTGTGCAGGGAGAACAGCCCCTTGGGAGGTGGGGCGGAGCCGTCTAGGTCCCATCGGCCAAGGAGCCCCCAGAGGCAGCCTTGGGGCCGGACTGAGGCTGGAGAAGCCCTCAGAAGTGCGGCCAACAGGCCATCAGTCTTGGGGACCTTGTCCCATGGGCAGTGGGCTGGGGGTCCAGGGACTCCTCCCAGTGCCTTCCCTTGGGAAGGGGCTTCCGTTCATCTGTTCCCTGGCCACTTGCATATTCTGCAGAGCTGGACCTGGGGGCACTGCTGGCCTGGGCTCCAGGGACATTGCTGGGCGGTGACAGACTCCTGGGGACAGCCCCTCCTCTTGCCCCGGGAGCCTGTGGGATAGGCGTGTGTGGACAGTCAGTGTCGCAGCAGAAAGAGCTGCATGTTTTCACCACTGTGGGAGCGCGGGGTCCCCCAGACACCCCAAGCTGGGGGCTGCATGACCTCGCTCTGCTATCGGGGTTGTGGGGGTGGCCTGAGAGCCCCCACCCCTGGGGCCCGCCACCTTTGGTTGGTGCGTGCCTCCTATCCGCCACTTGCTGTGATTTTAGATGTTGAAGTTCTCAGGAACGTAAACCCCACGTCCACGGACTCACCCGGCTCCGCGGCAAAGATGTTGCCGTCTGTGCGTCACTGTGTTGCTCTTGAACCTCGTGAGCGTGAGCTGCAGACACGGGAGCTGCAGATAATCGGGCTGTTCCTCACCTGGTCGTGTCAGCCGCAGAGACCCCGCCTGGTGGCCTGGAGGCCCCCCCACCTCACAGCTGTGCTCACGTGGCCCTAATCAGGGTTCTCCAGGATGGCTGGGTCTCCCCGCCCCTCTCACAAGGGACTTCGGAGCCCTGGCTGATGGCCACTATAAAGTCCCCGTTTTCTAACAGGAATTTAGGTTTTTGACAAGACTATTTCACAGATGCTCGTGTGTCTGAGCAGAGCCCCGGGGGGTGGAGCCCCTACCTGTAGGAGAGGCCACGTCGCTGCCGAGGTGCTTAGGGAGTGTGCACCCGCCCTTCAGTCTACACCCGAGCCCGACGGGCACTGTTGGCCACTTGGGTTACACAGAAGACCAGGCAAAGAGGCGTCCACTGCCCAGAAGTGAGCTGAGGTTTCAGGCATGTGATGACCCAAGCTGCCGGGCGAGTGGATCCTGGGCACAGAGGCACAGAACAGACCACGCGGTCACACAGGACACAGAACACACAACACGGGACACAGAGGACATGTAACACAGGACACTGGACACAGAGGACACGTAACACAGGACACTGGACACAGAGGACACACAGCACAGGACACGGGACACGGGACATAGAGGACACGTAACAGGTCACACAGGACACAGAGGACACACAGCACAGGACACAGAACACACAGGGCACGCAACACGGGACACGGGACACACAGCACAGGACACAGAGGACACATAGCACAGGACACAGAGGACACGGGACACAGAACACACAGCACAGGACACAGAGGACACGTAACACGGGACACAGGACACAGAGGACACACAACACCGGACACGGGACACGGGACACAGAGGACACACAACACCGGACACGGGACACGGGACACAGAGGACACACAGCACTGGACACGGGACACTTTACACGGGACACTGGACACAGAGGACACACAGCACTGGACACGGGACACGTCACACGGGACACAGGACACAGAGGACACACAGCACCGGACACGGGACACGTCACACGGGACACGGGACACAGAACACTGTGACGCAGCTTCCCCTGGAACAGCTGGGCAACTTGGGAGTAACACGGTAACAAGGTGCCCAGGTTTTGGGGTGAAGAAAGCAGCAGGTGGTTTTGAACCAGAGGTTAAGACAAATGGAAACACGAGCCCGAGCAGTGCGTTGAACAAGTCCTGACCGCAGGAAATCCTGAGTGGACAGCGGGGCTGGATGGCAGACGTCCCCCCCCCCCCCCCCCCCGCAACCCCAGCGGGACGCAGAGTCCGGACAGGCTGCTTGAGTCCATGGGCGCCTCTAACCGGCCTGCGGCTGTGCCGCCGCTGCCTGCATCGGTTTGGTTCTGGCAGCCAGGCTTCTGCTGCTGAGAGCGGGTGGAGCCACTCGGCAGAGAACAGGCCGAGACCGCCAGCGGGGACTCAGCCTCCTGCCTTGCAGGTGCCCAGGAACCCAGACGGCAGCCCGGCCCCGTCACAGGGGCCACACGGCGCTGAGCCCTGAGCCAGGTCAGACACAGGTCTGCACATGTCGCGAGGAGCAGAGCGCAGCGCGGCGCCTGGCGTCCAGCTCACTGGAGCTCTGCAAGGCATGGCCACGGAGGGCCTTTCAAGTGGCCGTGGGAAAGGCCACCATCCCTGTTCCTTTCTGGCTCCCACTTTGGGGTCATTTTTAACGTGGAACTCAAACCCCAAGGGGACAAAAACAAACACCTTCACTTCGTCCGAATCCCCTTCGTGGTTTCTATGGTTACACCCAAAGCTCATGCTTACAGTACAAGAAAGTATCCACCCTAACTTTTTAAAAAATTTTATTTTTAAGTACTCTCTATACTCAATGTGGGGCTCGAACTCACAATCCTGAGATTGAGAGTCGCAGGCTCCACCGACCGTGCCCATCTTTATTTTTCCAACACTTTACATTGAATAAATTACCTCTTTATCATGTGCTACAAGCCCAACACTTAGCGAGTCCACTTTTGGCACTGGATTCTGCTGGCTCACCCATCACGTAGTTCCTAAACTGAGCCTGCAGTAGTTTTCAACGAGAGAATGGCTGTATAAGGTCTGAAGGAGGGTCAGGGTTCCAGGTCCCACCTGTGGGAGACACAGGCGACCCCAGACGTCATGGTGACATCAGTAACTGGTGGGTCTCTCTCCAGGGAGATGCCGGGCACAGCTCTGCACCCACCTACTCTGTGAGGGGTGACAGTGTCTGACACGTTCCCGCTACAGGCCTCTGGGCCTCCATGCTTCCTCAAAAGGCATCCCCAGTCTGTGGCAAGGCACGCACGCCCCAGGGACCCCCAGACAAAGCTGGGCCCAGGGTGTGCACCTGGCCCCCAGGGTCTGGGAGGCAGCACGCTGGAGGCTGTCTGCTGCAGGAAGCCCACGTCAAGGCCAGGGAGGCTTGTTCCACTTGGCAGAGATCCCAAAAGGAACCAGGGGGCTGTCCCAGAGCCGGAGGCCCAAGCAGGGACACCCAAGGGTACAGCAGCTGCAAGCTACTGGCCAGGGCAGAGGGTGGCGGGCGGAAAGCCGCCGGCGTATAGAGCGCTCCAGGGAAGGGACTGCTCAGCTGTGAGTCTTGAAGTTGGCGCTTGTGTTTCATCCGGCGATTCTGAAACCAGGTTTTTATCTGTGGGAGAAACCAGATCAGAGCAAGGGCGGGAACAGCCACCCCCCCAACCCCCCGGGCCGGCCCGTCTGGGGCGGGGGGAGGGCCCTCACCTGCGCTTCGGAGAGTCGCATCTCCCGGGCCAGCCTCCGGCGCTCCAGGGGGCCCAGGTAGCGCTGGTGCTGGAAGGCGCTCTCCAGGGTGCTGACCTGCTGGGCTGTGAAGGCTGTGCGGACCCGGGGCGCCCGCGGGCCGTCCGCCTCCTTGCTCAACCCTGAGGAAGGGCAGGCGGCACTGAATGCTTTGGGCTAACAGTGCCACCCACGTGGGACCCGGGCCTCCCTCACTCAGGGGGCTCCTAAGCTCTGTGGCCACAGGGACGAGAGGCCGGCTGGGCCCTCCTCCCTCACTTCCACTGCTCTGCTGTCCCGGACGGAGGGGCAGCCCCTCCCCTCCCAGCCCATGCAGGATGGGGGCCGGGGGGTGAATACTGGATCAAGAGGCCTTTGGAACGGAACAGCGGTTCCGATGCAGCCCCTCACCCTCCACTGGTGCACATGGTCCCTTCCAGAAAGGGACCCCCACACATCGGTTCCTCTGGCTGCTCACAAGGACCCCGTCTCCCCTGCCACCAATCATGTGCCCGTGGCTAGTCTGTGGCTAACGTCTACACCAGCAGGTGGCAGACGGCACGAGGCACCCCGTGGTGCGGAGGGCGCCCTGTCCTCTCCACACACGTCTGAGCAGAACGTCAGATTTTACACAATTACTTTGAACACTCACCTGGGAGCGTGCAGTAGGAGGGCAAGAGCTTTGCTTTGGAGGTGGGGGTGGGGGTGGCGGTGAAAGATCTGGATGCAGGGATGATTTGTTGGCTTTTGTGAGATGGGGGGAACTGGTTGCAGAAAACAAACTTAAAATTTCACTTCTTTGGAAACATAAACATTTTCCGTAGGATTATTTAAACTTTTTCAAATATGAGGGGCACCTGGGTGGCTCAGTCGGTTAAGCATCCATCTTCAGCTCAGGTTGTGATCTCATGGTTCACGAGTTCAAGCCCCGCATCAGGCTCTGTGCCGACAGCTCAGAGCCTGGAGCTGCTTCAGATTCTGTGTCCCCCTCTCTGACCCTCCCCTGCTCACGCTGTCTCGCTCTCTCTCAGAAATAAATAAAACATTAAAAAAAATTTAAAAGGACAAAACGAGGTCTCATCAGCAAATGACAAAGGGTCAGACCAGGGTTAGGAAGCCACCAAGACCTCCTGGAGCCGAGGCACAGAGGCGCTCGAATCCCCGTGTACAGGGGTGCCAGGGCTGCCCCCACCCACACCTGTGAACAGGCTCAGTCTAGACGCCAAGCTGAGGCGACCGGCTTTGAGGGAAGAGCCACAACGACCCCTCTGAACCCGGCGGAAGTGGCCCCAAGGACTCGCTGCAGAACGAGAGAGCCAGTTGCACAAAGGCACTAATGTCGCAGTCAGGACTCAGGGCAGGAGGGGGGGCAGCCTTTCTAGGAGGGGGGCGGGGAAGGGGGCGCCACGGGGCTGGAGGAAGACCCCCACTGGGGCTTTCCCCTCTGAGAGGAAGTGCTTACTCGACAGGGGGGTCAGGAGGAACCTCAAACCCCAGCCCCCACCTCCAGCCACGGTACACAGGATGTGGCGGGTTCGTTAGGGCCTCCCTCCTCCAGAACACTCCGGGCTCCCGTCCCAGTCTGGGAATGAAGGGAGCCCCCTCCCCACCCATCCCCACACCTACCGGCCGAGGGTGTCCCTGGTGCAGACACTTCCAAGGGCTTTACTTCCTCCGTGCCCAGGGGGAGCTCCCCGCTGCCGGATACCTTGGCTGGAGCAGACAGGCTCCCCCCGGAGGCCTCAGCGGGCCTGGAGGTGTGTGCCGGCCCCACGTGGCTGCTCCGGGAAAGCCAATCCACGGAGCCAAAGCTGGACGGCTCGAAGCCACTGGGCAGGGTAGAGGAGGGAGCCATGGCTGTGGGGGACAGACGGTGGGCGTGAGGCGCGGGGTCCTCTGCAGGCTGACGGGGCTGGACGGGGCTGAGCTGCATTTATGAGCTCAGGGGGAGGGAGTGGCAGGCGGGTTTGCATAGGTGGCTCCAATCCTCCCCCACCCCAGATAAGTAGCATCTAATTGCCTCCAATTCAGAGGCACAAAGAAGGTCATTCACACCTCCCCCGGCTCCGAGATGTCTGGGGAGGAGCGGGGCTGTGTCCACCACTTCGGGGAGAGGTGCAGGTGGGGGACCTCCCTCCGCCCCCACCCTGGGCTGGCCTAGCTTTCGGGGTGTGACGAGGGTCCCCCCCAGCCTCGCATTCCTGCTGGAGGCCGCGTCGTCTCCGGAGACCGGCCCCCCACCTGCTCCTCGAGTCTGCAGAGCCAGAGGGGACAGGCGTGCACACCTGAGCGAGGGTGCTTCAGGGGAGTCAGCATCACTGCTCCCGGGACCGAGTCCCCCGCCCCTTGCTGTCTGGGCGGGAAAGTCGGGCAGTCCTGGAAGAGGACTGCGACTGGCAGACAGGGCTGGGCAGGGCTGCCCAGAGAGAACCCTAGGGCTCCAGCTGGCCCTTCCCCCTCGAAGTGTACTCATCAGGTCTCCACGACCCCACTCCCCTCCAGGCCTCACTCTGGCGCCCAGGAGCTGGATTACAGCGACACGAAAGAGGGGCGTCTGCCGGCTGAGAGCACGGCCTCCTCCCTGCGGCTCCAGGAGGACCCTGCGGGAAGGACCGGGGAGACACTGCCCTCCCCCGCGGGGCGGCCCCACTGTGGCCGATGTAGGCACAGTGCTCCCGAGGGTGCCGGAGCCCCAGGCTCAAGGGGTACCCTCACTCCTGCCTGGGCTGCACACGCCTCCCCCACAGGTGCTCCAGCCAACCTACCTTCACCCTCTGGGGTCACGCACCCTGTCCAGCTCCCCAACCCCGCAGCCAACACGTCTGTCTCCAGGACACGACCCCAAGGACCAGCCTGAGCCTCGTCCAGGGCGACCCGGGGAAGCGGGGTGGGAGCACTGGCATCCAGCGAGGTGGCCCCAGCCCACCGGCCGGCCTCCCGGGGACTCCGGCGCCAGCCTGGGCGGGACCGCCAGCCTCTACGCCCGCCCCGCCCAGCGGGATCAAAGGCTCCAGGGGCCTCGAGGGGATTAACACCCCCCAAACCCGCCTCCCGAGCCTCCGGGCCGGGACTAGAGGTGAGGAGGGGCCCGACTCTGCGGGCACCGCGGGAACCGGCAGGCGCTGGCCCCGGCCGTCAGGGGTCAGAGGAGGAATTGCGAGGCCCCCCGGGCGGCAGGGGGCCGTCCAGCTACCTGGGGACAGAGGGCCCGCAGGCCTCAGGGGGCAGCACCACACAAACGGACGAAGGGAAACCTCCTTCCCCCGAGACGGCTCAGGCCGTGCGGAACTGGCCCCAGAAGCACCTCCTGAGACACAGGAAGGTTTGTGGGGAATTCGTGTGTGGTGTGCTCACAAGCATTAACGGGTTAAATGCCAGAGTTAGCGCGCGCCACCCCAGAAGAGCGCCGTACCTTTGCAAACCCAGTTTTATCATCGCCCATTTCCCGCCTTTCGTGGCCCCATCGCGCAGGCCTACAGGGCGAGCCCTCCCTAAGGGGACCCTCCTGCCGACACATTCCCAGCTCCCGGCTTACACCGTCCCCACCGGAGCCGCCTGCACCCCCAGCTGCCCGCGTGCCCGGGGTGGGTCCTTGCTCCAGCACCTCTCTGGGCTCAGGCCCCGCTCCCCTCACCCGGAGGTGGTGGTTCGTGTCCACTGGGGTCTCCCCGTCTCCTCGAGCCAATGACGACTGTGTCACCCAAGCGTAACCTCGGCTTGCTCACTCTGGGGCTGCAGGCCGTGCCCCTGAGCCGGTGCGGGGACCCGCCTGCCGTCCTCCGAGGCTGCGCTCGGACGCGAGGTGGCCTTGGCTCTGACCGCCGACCTCCCCACTCAATCCCGCACCTGCTCGCCTCGGAGGAGGGCTCCCCACGCAGAGTCCGGTCTATCCCCCCAAAGTCCTGGCAGCCTCTGCCCCCTTCTCACGTCCAAAGCCCCCATCCCCCCGACCAGACGGTCCGTGGCTTAAGCCCTCCGCCCGAGGTGTCCCGCCCCCCAGACGCGCCCTCGCTGGCCCCGCCAGGACCGCTCCCCCCCTCCCCCGCGCACCCCATTAGCAGGGGGCCGAGTGCCGGGTGGGCCGGCCGTCTCCCTCCCCTTCCCCCTCCCGCCTCCACTTTGGATCTCCCACTGGGCGGCTCCTCCCCTTCCCTCCCCCCCCCCCCGTTTGTCCCCCAGGCTTCCTGCCACGGCCCTTCCACACCCTCCCCGCCCCCCTGGCCGTGGGAGCCCCCTCATCTCCTTGTTTGTGCTTCTGGTTGAAAGCACCAATGTGTGGGTGGGAGGGGGGGGTCCCAGGCTGCAGGTGGGATGGGGCGAGGCCCCTCTCCGACCCCCCCCCTCCGACCGGCCCTGAAGAAGCAGGTCGGTGGCAGGGCCAAAGGGCCCAGGACCTTCCAGCTCCGGGTACAAAAGCAGGTGGGGGCGGAGGCTGCGGAGAACGCGGGGTTGATGCAGGAACGGTCTGGAAGACAGAACCAGAAAACCAGGCGGGGTTAGTCAGGTCCCAGGGGATCCAAAGGAGTAACCCACTGTGGATCTCTTTAGGGATCTGGCACTTTGTGGGAGGCCAGAATATCAGAACCAAGGGCTCAGAAAATAAGGGGAAGAGTGGAATGTCCACTGGGTGTCCTGAAGGTGAAAGAAATCACTCACTGTATAGGCAGAAACGCCCACTAGAAGGAACAGTGGCCCGCATGTGGGTAAACGGCCAATGCGTGCACCCCAAGCAGACCCCCCACCTACTGGTGACGGAGAAGATGGGCTGCACTGGGGTGTGAGGCCTGGGAGAGGACCAGGTCAGTCAAACTCTGGGTCTGGGCCAGGTGAGGGGAGGAGCCTCGCGCCGGCAGAGCCATTGACAAATTGTAAGAACAAAATATATTAGGATTTCTCTAGATTCAGATCGCAAACGACAATCCCGGGAGGCTCTAGCACACGGATGTGAATAGTGAGCTGCCTTGGTGGGCGTCATGGGAAACAAGGTGAGGGGCTGGCGGGGCAGACTTTTGGAACACTGGACTGGACTCGCTGTTGGATTACGGATGCACTTGTACGATTTGACCAGAGTGTCTGCAGAGCTTGGCCGCTGCAACAGACCCCACAGACTGGGGTCTTAAAGGGACATTTCTTTCTCATAATTCTGGAGGCTGGAGGTCCCGGGTGCTGCTGTGGTGGGGCTCTGGTGAGGGCACCTCCTGGCAAGCCGATGGCCACTCTCTGGCTGTCCTGTCTCCGAAAGCACTAATCCCAACGACGAGGCTCCACCCTCCGGAGGGAAGCCCGTCCCAAAGGCCCCATCTCTTGACATCATCACATTGAGGGTTAGGATTTCAACATCTGCATGTGGGGGACACAGCCACCCAGTCCATAATATAGAGCAATACGTTTTTTTTTTTTTTTTTTTAAATGTTTATTTATTTCTAGGAGACAGAGAGAGAGACAGCGTGAGCAGGGGAGGGTCAGAGAGGGAGTCACAGACTGAAACAGGCTCCAGGCTCTGAGCTGGCAGTCAGCACAGAGCCTGACGCGGGGCTCGGACCCACGAACCGTGAGATCATGACCCAAGCGAAAGTCGGACGCTTAACCAACTAAGCCACCCAGGCACCCCAAGAGCAATATGGTTTTTAACAGAAAAACTGCGCAGCAGAACCAGGGGAAGGCTACGTGGCTCAACCACTAATAGAGTCAAAGGGTCGGCCTCCACCGCACAGAACTGGGGGGTCAGACACTGAAACTGGAAAGAAAGCGGGAATGAGGTCTCTGGTAAAACTGAAGGAATATAGGGGAGTTTATCTAACCTCATAAATCATATGGAGGATGAACCAATTTACCAAAATCGTAGAGATGTGTTCTTTGCAAAAATGATAGGTCAAGATTACTCAGCCCTGTTTGCTTTGACCTGGAAAAAGATGCAGATTTCAGAGCCCAAAAGGAGCAGCGTTTGAGAATGTTCCAAAGATCAATGTAATTAGAGAAACAAGCGTGGAAAAGCCAAGAATTTGGACAGATAAACGGCAGTGGAGAAGACGGCGATTTCAAACGTTAAGTTACAAAGGAAGTTTACCTCTATTTCTTATTTTTATTATTTATTTATTTTTAGGTTTATTTATTTTGAGAGAGCGAAAACACGAGTCATCGAGGGGCAGAGAGAGAGAGAGAGAGAGAGAGATGGAAACAGAGAATCCCAAGCAAGCTCCAAGCTCAGCTCAGAGCCCCACGCAGAGTTCAGGCCCACTGACGGTGGGATCATGACCTGAGCCGAAATCAAGGATAAGACACTTAACTGACTGAGCCGCCCCAGTGCCCCGATGTCTGTTAAGTTTTTAGGCACAACTGGACATCAGAGAGAGTGCAGGTGTCAGAGGTAATTACACATAAGGAGTGTTGACCTATTTGGGAGTGAAAAAACAGCCTGCAACTTGATAGGGTTATTTCCCTATTTGGAGAAACCTTTGCAAGGGCCTGAAAAGCTGGTTCTTGATGGATCAGCACCGTGTGAAAACACACTCCCCGGTTCCAGCCCCAGAATGGAAAGGGGCCGGGCCAGGCGGGCGGGCGGGTCCCACAGCCAGGCCGAGAGGACCCCCAGCCACGGAGCTTCCTCAGCTGAACCGATGAGGAACACAGGTGAGCCGCACACTTCCTGGCCCGCAGTGCAGCACAGCGCAGAACGGCATGAGGGGGAGCCCCACACTAGGTGGGTGGGTCACCCAGGCAGTGAGGCAGCTGGGCACGACAGTCACTCTGGCATTGCCAGAACGCGTGCTGTAAGAATGGTCATTAACAGTGTGCACTGCACACCCACTGGGGTGTGCTAAGAAAATAAGAGTAAGAAAATAACATGTGTCGGTGAGGATGCGGAGAAACCGGAACCCTTGCACACTGTTGGTGGGAATGTGGAACGCTGCAGCCGCGCGGACAACAGTATGGAGGTCCCCCAAAAAACTAGACATAGAAGGCACCTCAGTGGCTCAGTCGGTTGAGCGTCCGACTTCAGCTCAGGTCACGATCCTGTGGGGTAAGCTCGGGCCCCGGGTCAGAGCGGAGCCTGTGTGAGAGTCTCTCTCTCGCTCTCACTCTGCCCCTCCCCTGCTCATGCTCATGCATGCGCTGTTAAAAAAATCTTTTAAAATTAAAAACAAAAACAAAACCAGGGGCACCTGGGTGGCTCAGTCGGTTAAGTGTCTGAGCCATGACTTCGGCTCAGATGATCTTACGGTTTGTGGGTCTGAGCCCCGCGTCGGGGCCTGGCTAGCTCGGAGCCTGGAGCCTGCTTTGGATTCTGTCTTCCTCTTTCTCTGCCCCTCCCCCACTCTGTGTCTCCCTTTCTCTCTGACCCTGCCCTGCTAACGTGCGCGCTCTCTCTCTCAGAAATAAATAAAAAACATTAAAAAAATTAAAAAATAAAGGTATGAACCTGCTGTCCGGCGACCCCTGGTGGGATGCGAGGGCGCTCAGCTGAGGAGGGTCCTAGGAGACGCTGTCGGAGACACGGCCTGCACTCGGGGTCAGTCCCGGGGAGAGAGGTGCTAATGGCCAGGGGTAGCGTCACCGCTGTGGCGTTCACCCCACACGCCCAGACAGCCCAGGACACCAGCAGAAGCCACGCGCATCACAGAACAGGGTGAGGACACGCCTTACCTCACTGACCCACCAGAGAGCCACGGACGAGGGGAAGGGACAGCGAGAGGGGATCTGGGAAGCTTCAGGGCATCAATAACCGCAGGTTTACCACCTGGCCAAGCAGCTGGGATGAGCCAAGGAAACCTGAACGGACAGCACACCTCTCCCCGGGCTGGAGGACCGGAAGGACGGGCAGAGGAGGCTGTTTCCTTACTCCAGCAGAAGGGGCCTGAGGAGGCCATGGGATGCACCCCATTTGCAAGCTGGGCAGTAAGGCAGACGGGTTTTTCTAGGTGGCCCCCGGTCTCTCAAACTCGGTGACCTCCACAGATTCCTTTCAGTCACAACATAGTCTTCCTCCAGGGCAGAGGGTCCCCGGGGAGCCGAGGGGTGCACCCACCTTGCGGCACTGTCCCCACCCGCAGGGGGCTGACAGACTTGCCCCAGCCTGTGGCTCTGACCTTCCAGCAGGAGGGGCATGAGGGGGCGGGTCGGTCTGCGAGCTAGAATCACCCCATAGCAAGTTTGTGGCAGCCGGGGCGCCTCGGGGACCAGAGCACGGGCAGCATCGTGCAGCAGAGGCAAATGTGTCCTAAGCGAGGCAACGCTTTCAGTCAGGTCTACGGTTTCGGTCCCACAGCGGCCCCCAGGACCCGCCACAAATGCACAGCTGATGGGTGGGCTCAGCTTCTGGGGTCTGGGAGACTACTGCTCCCAAGATCTCTGAGGGTCAGGGTCATGGGGTCCCTTCTCCAAAGTCTGCAGAAAAGGGCTTGGGGGAGGAGCTTCTATCCCACCCCCTGCCCCACCCCCCACCCTAGCGCCCCAGGGACTGCCGGGACCTTGGAACACACGGCCAGCAAGAACACCCTTCCCTCATTTAGCTTTGTGGCCCCGGGCAACGTCCCTGAATGAGCCCCTACTTGGCGGGGCAATCGCTAGTCCCTGAATGGACCCCTACTTGGTGAAACTGTATTGTTATGCTGGCCAGGTGCCCCGGGCGACTTCCTTATCTCCCCGGAGCAGGGGCACCGCCCGGCCCACCTGGTTCTCACTCCCATTGAGGGTGGGGCCTGTTACTATTTGGAAAATGCTCCCTGGGCGGTTTTGGTAAAATCCTCTCAAATCTGCAGGGGCCTGGTCCCAGGCGGGCCAAAGTCCCAGGGCCCGGCCACCCAGAGAAGTCACTTCCCCGGGGCCAAAAGGAGCCCCTTTCCAGGTGTGCATGAACTGCCCTGAGAAGTCCTGCTTCCCAGGCGGAGCTCCGGTAGGAGGCTCCGGCCTGCCTGGGGCTGGGACTCGAGCGCACCCGATCATGGGCGCTCCCCGGTCATGCTGGGGCAGCATGACCAAAGCGGAGGAGACCCTCCAACGCCCACCCCTACAGGCTCAGGCAGAGAACGCTCGCCCACCCGCGCTGGCCTGGGCCGGGGCACAGGCCTGGTGGGCGAGGCCAGTGTCACCAGGGCCCCGGGCCTCCGGCTCCCCATTCCGCCCGGGAGACCGTCTTCACCACGGCCTGACCTTAAGCCTGGCCCGAGACGTGCGCGCGCTCACAGAATCAACTCGGGAAGAACACAAATCTTTTATTGAACACGGCCAGACTCGGGGGTGGGGGTGGGGGCCGCAGGACGGGGGCGGGGCGGGGGCGACCGGCCGGGACGGCAAGGGGCGGCGCGGCCGGCCTCACTCTCGCGGGTCGGCCAGGACGCCGCGCTCGGCGGCCGCGCTGCCCAGGATGAAGCCGACGGCCAGGGACACGGTCTGGTCGAAGGAGCCGCGCAGCTGCTCCACGTGCTGGTTCAGGGTCAGCAGCTGGTCGCGCAGCGGGCCCAAGATGGCCACGATGTCGCCCAGGTGCCCCAGGGTCTGCAGAAGGGCGGCGTTCAGCGACGGGGGCGCGGACTGCGGGGGCGCGTGGTCTTCGGGGCGGCCTGGCGGGGAGTCGGGGTCCTCCCGAATGGGGTCCAGGGCCGGCGGCGGCGGGGATGCCGGGGCGCGGCCGGGCGCGGCCGCAACCGCGGAGAACGCCGTCGGGGAGCCGGGGGCGCGGGGCGCGTCTGCAGACTTGGGCGGCGTCGGGCTGAACCTCAGCGTCCAGGCGGGGTCTGCGTCGGGGTCTCGGGCGGCGGGCGGCTGCGGGACGTCTGGAACGTGGAGGGGGCGGGGATCGGGCCGGGCTCCGGGGGCGCCCCCGGGAGCCCCGACGCCCCCCCCCCCCACGGCCGGCGCCGCCCCCGCCCCCCCCTCCCCCCCCCCCCCCCCCCCCCCCCCCCCCCCCCCCCCCCCCCCCCCCCCCCCCGCCCCCGCTCCGCTCCCACTCACCCGGCTCCGCGGACGGGAGGTGCGCGGCGGGGGCCGGGCGGCGGCCGCGCGGGGGGCGCCCGGGCCCCGGGGAGCGGCGGCGGCCGCGGCGGGGCCCGTGGTCGCCCAGCAGCCCCATGAGCTCGCGGATCTGCGCGTCGAACGGCCCGGGCGGCTGGCCCTGCGCGTCGCGGAGCTTGTCCTTGAGGAACTTGTAGCGGCGGCGGCACTGCGCGGGCGTGCGCCTCACCTGCTGGCGCGCCAGCGCGGCCGACACGCGGCGGTAGGTGGGCAGCGCCTGGCGGCGGTCGAGCAGCAGCGCGCGCCACACGGGCGGCTGCAGCAGCGTCCCGAGCAGCAGCTCCGTCTCGCGGGCGCTCCAGGGCGTGCGCTGCGCCGAGCCCGGGGACACGGGCGAGCCGGGCGGCCCGGGGGACGCGGGGGACGCGGGCGCCGCCGGCGAGCCGGGCCGCCGGGGCGGGGTCCCCGCGGCGCCCCCGGCCGGCCGCGGCTCCGGGTCCGGGCTGGGTGGCGACGGCGGCGCGGGCGGCGGCGGCCGCCGCGGCCGGAGCAGCATCCCGGGGCCGGCGGGGCGCGCGGGGTCGGGGCCGCGGCCCGAGCGAGGCCGCCCACACGGGCTGGGTGGCTGCGCGCTCGGCGGAGACGGAGCGGGAGCCGCAGCCCGAGCGGGCGCCGCGGCGGGTCTACGCCGCCCGCCCCCGCGCGCCCCGCCCCGCCCCCCCAACCCCGCCCCCCAGCCCGCCAAGTTCAACTTGGGCCGGCCCGGGTCCCGGCCAGAAACCACCCGACACACAGCGGTTGTACTTTCTAGACTCTGGAGTTGACGTACAAACGGATACGGCGGCGCGCAAGGTTCGATTAGTTTTTACGCATGTGCTGTGCCCTTTCACCGCCGCGCGGACCGAGCCGTGGAACCTTCCAGCTCCCGAAGGCGCCCCCGCGCCCCTCCCATTTGCCCTGGGCGTGTCCTCGCCGGTGGTTCGCGGAGGCGCTGGGCTTGGGCCCCGCCCCCGCCCCCCGCCGCGTGGTTCCGGTGTGACCCCGGGGGGTGGGGTCGGGGCGGGCTCCGCTCGGAACCGGTGTCGCAATTCCCCCCTCCCCGCACTTCACAGAAAAGTGCCCCGCTTGATTCCAGCACCTGCAGCTAACAGCAGAGTGACAGTATGGACGCTACCTCCTGCCGTCGGGAATCATGGGTGCCCCGCGTCGCGCGTTCTAGTCAACGCGGTTCTGGAAGCCTCGCCAGAGCAATAAGACAAGAAAAAGGAGTAAGGGTTACAAAGGTTGGAAAGAAGTAGAACCATCGTTATTTGTAGGTGATACGACTGTAAACACGGGAAATAGGAAATGATTCGCAGCCACGTTATTAGAACGAGTAACTGAATTTAGCAAGGTCGTTGAGCACAGTGATAAAAATCCGTTGTATTTCTGTATACTAGCTATAGTCATTTTTAGAACTTTTTAGTTTGGGGCAGTTGTAGATTGACAGCCAGGTGGCACAGAAGGACTGGAGACCCCGTGCCCCCCCAGGGGAGCGTCTCGTGGGACCTGGCACCTTTGTCAAAGCTGAGAGACTCGCGTTGGCATGACGCCATTGACCGAGCCGCACGCTTGACTTGGGTTTTACCAGGTGTCCCACACGCGAGCCCGTCGGGTCCCGGGACCCGGGCGGGGTACCGCGCTGCGTGCCGTCGCCGCCCTCCTCTGTCCCCTCTGGACCCTGGCCGTTTCTCACGCTTGTCGTCCACGTGCTTTGTGGGTGTCCTTCACCGTGGGTTTGTCAGATGCCTTCTCATGATGAGCCTGGGCTTACGGGCTTTTGGGAAGAAGACCCAGACGTCACCGCGGTGCCCAGCACCTCTCCACTGCCGGGTCACCCTCTTCCCTTACGTGCCCTGCGGTGAGCACCGGTCACCAAGTGCACCCCGCACGCGGGGGTGAGCAGGCTGCACTTTGAGGGCGGCGGTTGCGTGTTTGGGGCCCTCCCGTAATTCTCCCTGGTCAGGGCCTCGTGCTGCCCTGCGTGTCGGGGTGCTGTGCCACACCCTCCCCCGGAGGGGCCCGATCGCCTCAGCTCTCTTCCTCTTTCCTCTTGTCCTGTGTCCTTCTGACATGCCCCCACCCCCAGTACGTTCCGCTTTGTTCCACCACCAGAGATTTCTGCTCCTCTGTGCCTCCCCCACTCCAGCCCTCGTGTCGAGCATTCTGCCGTCTCTCCAGAAATCTGTGGTTCCTTGTTTTGGGAGACTGGTAGCTGGAATCCAGCGTCAGGATGCGGGTCGCCTGCTGCTACGGGGCTGGCGGGGTCACTGCTTCCAGCCCACTGAGTCTCCACGGGGAGTAGTTCACCCCCCAGGGAGTATTGGTTGATGTCTGGAGACGTTGGTTGTCATAACTTGGGGGCTGCTGCTCGCATGTGGGGGGCAGAGACCAGAGGTGCTGGGAAACAGCCCACAGTGCCCAGGATGGCCCACGGCAAGACCGTCCGCCCATCGCGTCAGTGGAGCCGTGACTGGGCCCTGCCCTGGCCCTGTGAAGGCTGAGCAAGGAAGCACGTGCCGGTGCGCCCACCCACGTGCCCACGCACACCTTGCCTCCCCGCGGGCTTTGCTGCACCATCTTTGACAGCAGGAGGCCCCGGCTGCCTTATCTACAGCTTAGGTATTTATTGATCAGCCCCAGGGTTGCTGACTCGAATTCCCGTGAGAAGTCAGCCTGTCTACCGACTGGAGTGCAGTCCTAATATGGTCTTGCTTCGCAATTTCCTTTCCTTTTTTTTTCAAAAAATGTTAATGTTTTATTTATTTCTGAGAGAGAGAGAAAGACAGCGTGAGCAGAGGAGGGTCAGAGAGAGAGGGAGACAGAATCTGAAACAGGCTCCAGGCTCTGAGCTGTCAGCACAGAGCCCGACGTGGGGTTCGCACCCGAGAACTGAGACCGTGACCTGAGCCAAAGTTTGACGCTTAACCAACTGAGCCACACGGGCGCCCCCACAGTTTCCTTTCCAGGGAGACCGAGGTCAGCCCCCCAGAAGGGCGGGAGGCAGCTGAAGATGCCAGGGCAGCTCCAGGCCCCGCGTGCCTGCGAGGACCCCGCCCGCCTTTGGAGCAGGCTTCAAACAGCAGCCGCGGCCACGGCAAACAGCCCCAGAGCACCGTGCGGCGCTAGGGCGGCGGGCAGGCCGGCTCACGGGTCGTCTCACCGACCGGAAGAGCACCTCGGAGCGGGGAGCCGGCGCGTCCCGGCGCCCACCGAGGAGCAGCGCCTTCACCGCAGCACAGCGGACGGCAGCTGTGGAGTTATGTTAGTCTGTGGTCAGAGCCGGGACGTGGGTTCGGGTGGGCTGCTGCCTGTTCCCTTGTGAGCGGGGCGGCGGGGGTGGCCCATTTCCGGAGCCCTGGCCCGGCTGCTGGGGCCCCGTAGGCCTTCTGCAAGCGGCACGTGCCGGTGCCCAGGCGGCTCCGGGGCCGGGGGGCCGGCCGTCTCTCCCGCCTCCGCTCTGCCCGCCTGGGACGGCTGCCTTGAGCTCCAGCGTGCTGGTCTTGGGGTACTCGTCGTGGCGGGGCGCTCCCCAGAGCACGATACACCGGGCCGGCCTCCGTCTGGCCTAGGAGGGGACTGCGCAGGGTGGGGGCCTGGGAGTCATGGCTCGTTTGGGGGCCCAAGGGGTCACTGGCTGTCAGGTGTCCTAAAGAAAGACGTGTTGATTTGATTAGGCCCAGTGACGTGGCACGAGATCCCGGGCTTCGTGTCCCGGGGGGGAAGAGAGACCAGGGGTTCGTGACTGTAAGGTGGGTGAGACCCAAGCCACCCAGCCAGCCGCGCCTGAGACACCAGAACCACCCGCCGGAGGCAGCTCCGCGCGCGGTTGCGTCACTCGTACAGCACCCCTGCTGGGCAGGGGCCTTTACCCCTTATTGCAGGGACCTCCCCAGACGCCTCTTCCGCAGAAAACAACCCTTCACGTCCCCAAACTCTTTGAACCCCTGGCCTCACCCCTCCTTTTGCGGTGTCTTCCCAGTGGTGGGCAAGCCTCAGGGAACATCCCTGTCTTGCCCGGGTGAGGGAGGACCTGGCCGTCTGCTCGGAGGCTCTGGGTGGGGCCTCCGGCCTTCGGTGGAACCGGTGGGGGTGGGGGTGGGGGTGGGGGTGGGGGCGGGGGCGGGGGTGGGGCGGGGGAGGGGGCGGGCGGTTTGTGGCAGAACAGCCTTGGTGGCTCAGCTAATCTGAAGGGTTTGCAGGCAAACGTTTCCTGCAGCAGTGGAAGGACGGCTCGCTCGTGGGCCCAGCAGTTATGGGGTTCGGCTCTCGCGGGGCTTGAATGAAACGAGAGGCACGAGGGCACACCTAGCCCTTCTCCGTGCCACCGAAGGACGTGGCTGTGGCCGGTACTTCTCGTCTCCTGAAGTTGTCTTCGTGTGACCACGGAGGAGCCCACCCTGACTCCCGATGCGAGTGTCGGTTTGGAGACAAACAGAATAAGCCATGTGGAAGCCATCTTGGTAGAAATGATTTTATTTAGAAATCTGTACCAGTGACATTGGGCGACATGCAGACAGTCGTGCTTAAGCTGAAAGCCCAGTCACTTCCCCGTGAATAAATTGTTAGGATTGGAATGTTTATTTGCGCCAGACACTAACTCAGTTTCAGGCTCTGTCACACCACCTTTGTTAAATTCACAATCTGAAAATGTAAGTGTTGTTTGGTAGAACAGAATCCTCATATAAAAGCCAGAAAACAACACCAACCACCCGAATTTGCGTGGCGGGGAGTGCGGAGTTCCTCTTATGTTCCATTTAGGCAGGACCTACGTGTCCCGCGTGAATTTCTGTGGGAAGCACACCCTGACATTACAAACTCCGCATTCTAGCACAAGTAACTGTTTTCCCAGAAATACCGAGAGCTGGTCGTTCTAAAGAACCTCTAATTCTGAGACCCCAGAGAACAGCCTTCGGTCTTGCAGTGATTTGGAACCTAAGATCGTTGGTGCCTGGATGCTGCCAGGGGGTCTGACCCCCCCGTCCCGGTCCCTGTGCACCCGGCCAAGGGGTCTTCTGGCTGCTGAGCAAATGCTCAACACCAGCTGTTTGGAAGCCGAGCCCCGGGGAAGAGCTTGGTTGCATCCAGGCGGCAAACGTCACCTCCTCCGCGTTCTGACAAAGCGTGAGCGAAGAAGACAAGCTGTGAGAGCCCGGGCGCGGATGCGTGCAGCGCATGCTGGCTGCTGAAGGCAGATGGACCTGGGCCACAGGCCTGAGGCCCCCGGGCCCCCAGGTGGGGCTGGGGGAGGCTCTCAGGGACCCTGAGGCCCTGAGTTGGCTTTGGAGCTGCTGTGTGTATCCTGTGTGCTTTGCGAGGAAGCAGAGCCTGGGGGGCCTCACCGGGAACTGTTCTAAGGGGTGGGGGCTGGGCAGCGGCAGAGGGCACGCAGGGCCATGGGCACTTGGGGGCTGCCAGCGTGGAGCCGTGAGGGGCTCGCTCACCAGCAGCAAGAGGCGGGGCTGCCTTCTGGGAAAAGGGCTGCAAAACTCAGGCACCCCCACTTGGCTGGAATGGGAGTGAGCTGAGCTGGACCCCTAAGGGGGAGATTTGGAAGGAGGGGGTCTGGAGGAAGGGAGGGGGAGGTCTGGAGGTGAGGAGGGGGAATTTGAGGGTGGGGGAGGTCTGGGGGTAGAAAGGGGGAGGCTGGGGGATGGGGGAGGTCTGGGGATGAGGAGAGAGAGGTCTGGGTGAGGGGGGATGTCTGGAATGTGGGAGGGGATCCGAGGGAGGTCCGGGTGGACAGGAGGGGGACAGTTGGGGTGTAGGGGGAGGTTTGGGGGTGCAGAGGGGAAGTTTGGGGGTGGCGGGAGGTTTGGGGGTGGGAAGAGGTCTGAGGGTAGGATTGTGGACGCTGGCTGGGGTCTGGGCCGCTGGGAAGGAAGCCTCAGGGCCCCAGGGGAAGGTTTCGGACACCCCTGGAGCCTGTGATTGGCATGGGGGCCAGAGGTCAGTTTGGTCCTTGGTTGCTGGGCAGACATAAGCCAGACTCAAGAAAACAGTGCTCTGAGTCAGGGTGGGTGTGGGGTTTGGGGGGGTGGGGCCCCCGGAGAGCTGGCAGAGAGCGATTCATCTCTAAGAAGTATAAATGGGTACGTGGCTCCTGGGGAGTTTACTTAATCTATTTTTGTGTTAATTTTTAAATATAGTTTTAAACTAGCAGAAACCCCAAACTCCACCGGAGCCCCCATCCTCTCCCTCACCACAAGGCCCTTGAGCCTCCTCCCCCCAGAGCCCCCCAGGCACACACCCTGACGCCCCAGCTGAGCCCTGGCTCCTGCCCTGGGGGGTCCCTGGCCCCGAGCAGCGGGCGCTGGACTGCACGGACTCCCTGGGCCCGGGACAGCAAGCGGGTGGCTCTTCTCCACCCCAGTCCTGTCCTCGGTCTGGCACT